TCTAAAGCTAAGAAGTGACGCCGTGTCAATCTAGGCGTGGGTCGATGATTGTCGCTGAAAACGCCTGGAGGGTAGGCAATGCTTTCCTGAATCGGGCCCCCGCGGCCCCCTGTCCCTCCGAACGCTTGGACAAGGCGAGAGCTTCGGAGAGGCATTGATTTCTTTCGTTTTCGCTTTATTTCTTAGCGCTGTTTACTTCTGGTTGATATTCAAGCATTGGCGGAAGAAATGATTTCGTCAATAGACGGTTTAGTTTAAGCTGACTCGGGCTCTGTCGGCAGTAGCTACAATCGTAAAATACTAACATCTCCACAAACAAGCACATCACGGACAAGCGAGGATCACATCCCGGACATGCGTGGACCACGATGGAGTATCCTGAGAACTTCTGCTCCCAGAGAGCTCGCTGAACTTCTCCATTGCTAATTGCTATTCCCATTTCTATATCTGTCCCTATTCTCATTCATCCGCGCCTGTAGGTAGGCAATTTCCCGCACTGACATTCCTGTAAATACTGTTTCATGTCAAAGAGGTGGAGGAAGCGCTATCCGCAGGCCACTGGTATCTCTGCAAATAACCACCTATCAGACATTACCGTGTCCGTGCAGAAAACTTTAAAATCGTACCGATGTAAACATGGCTTTAGCAACACGCACTTTGAGGAGCCTCCAACGTTTCAACAAAAATGTCCTCCTTGTTTCTGGAAGAAGAAGACACGATGGATGTTCGCCTCTATTACTGAAAAGCTCATCTAGACCTTATTCAGACACTGTCGGAGTGAAACTCACAGGTTAGACTACAATGGAAAACTTAACCTCTGCCCTACTATTTTAAATTAATGCTCATGGAAACTTTTCATGTGAAAAGTCTTAAAAAATTAAAATATATTTTAACTCAACCCTGTATTCATTTTGATTTTGTTTATTTTTACAGGGAGTAATGTAACTTCCTCAGATAAAAAGGACCCAGCGCAATTCTTCTTCAAGGATGAAGTCCAAAGTTGTCTGCTAGAAATGAACATGCGTGATACATCCAAAGTTTTTGAACCTCGTAAAGAAGGAAAGACCCTCTCAGAGCCAGAATTGAAATTTTTAACTCAAGAGGAACTTGATGAGGTATTTTGAACTTTTGGTTCCGTTTAATTTGTTTTCATTCGTCAAATACACTTGACCCTTTACTGCATTTCTTCCTATGCAGGAGCTAGAGAGAGCCCATGAAGTAGCTAGATACTACCTCCAATTACCACCTGTTCTCTCACCAAAACCAGATGAAAGGATTGTTTTATCAGAAGATCCAGAACTGCAAGGGCTTGAAGAGTCCAAAATCTTGGTGACAGACATTTCGTTTGGTGTACCACATCGCGTAAGACTCCCATCTTTGTTTGCGCTGTTTGTATAGAAATGTTTCTTTTTCTCATATTTCCTGTCCCACTTTAGGATAGGATTATTGTAGCGAGAGACACAGATGGTACATTGCGTCATGCATCAAGAGATGAACGGTACCGTATGCTGCAGACATATTTTCCAGAGGAGGGGCGGTCAATTGAACCACCACAGCTGTTTACTTCAGAGAAACTGAAGGTATTTTGAGTTGTAAGAGGGACTAGTTATACTCCTTTCATCATTTGATAAATTAATTATTTTTAATTACTTACAGTCGCTTCTAGATAGGTTGGAGTACCAATTCGTCTTAGACAAAGCATGTATACAGTTTGAGCCTGATGACCCACAGTATGTTTCTGTTACATCAATTACTTATGACCATATTGATGCTAGTGGTGAATATGATTTACTTGTTGGAACACGGCATTATGGTTCAATGGCATTCTATTTAGTCTTCAATGGTCGCCAAGACAAATTTTTGAAGCACTGCATTTCTACTCATAAGTAAGTATACTCTTTGGTGTCTTTCATCTGCTTGTCAATTGGTGTTATTAATGCCGAATTTTAACCAGAATTCAGGATGCTGTGGCACTCACAAAGGTGTTTTACCTGACCAGGCCAGAGATTACAGACTATTCAAATCCTTCTTCGCCAGATGATACAGCCTTCTTGAAGGTAAAATAATTTGAGAAATGTCAAATTTATCTTTCATTTTCTCTAACCGTAATTGTATTTATTTTGTTCCCACAGGAATATATTTCCAAATATGCCAAAGACAAAGCATCTTTGACCATGACCTTAAATGCTCACCTGGAACTGCAGCTTCCAACTGCAGACGAGGAAAGAACTCTCTCAGGGAATCAATAATACTATGTACCTGGAATATCAGTGGATTTCATGTATTTATAAATTCATCTTCTTTCAATCAATCAGATTTTTCTTTTAAAAATACCTTTTGTCTTCAGTTCATTCAAAACTTGAAATATGGATCTGGTAGTTGTTTCAACTTTTTACCATCAATAATGAAAACAGCATTTACTTAACAAAATGTATTTAACAATAAATGTATGTACAAATAAATATTTTACAATCCATTACATAATGAATTTCTTAAAAAAAAATGCTTGTTTCTGGGGCAGCAGCAGCCAAGGTCCAGCTGTAACTGAGCAAGTTCATATGAGATGCCCTACAAAATCTCGCCTTCACAGAAGACAAGTTCATACCAATTGAGCGAAGTTCAATAGATGGTGACAGCTTGCCTATAAGGGGTAAAGTCATAGAAGACTGTACTCACTCATTCATTACTTCATTCATTTTGGGAAATCAAACAGCTCTCTTGGGCATGCCTTTCGATATCATCTGAGGAAGGCTTATAGCTTCTGGCAGTATTTAGCACCAAACACACTTACCAAATCTATTGAACCTCTCAAACATATGTCCAGCTTTCCTATCAATACTAAACCAATTTTTAAATCTCGCAGCTGCAGGCCCTGAGGAAGTTGTGAAAATGTGCTGAAAAAATAACATAACTTGTTCATTAAAAACATTCACCCAATCTGAAATGACCATACTTGTGTTGTAGTGATGTGAAATTAATCACCCAGGTTGTTCAAATGATATTATCATCCTCTCCAAATTTCAAGAGGGTTAAATGAAACTAAACAACCTGTGTAATTAAATTATCCCCAGAGAATTCAATTAAGGAAAAAAATGTTTAAAAATAAAATTACTTTGACAACCATTACTTTAGTTTTTTCAAAGAAATAATCTGATCACTTCTCTGGGGATTTGACTAGCAGTGTTATGATTGGCCCGATACAAGTATACTCAACCGTTTTTCAATCCGGGCTCCTGACTCCCAGCCCTTGGCATCCGCTGCAACACACATTGCAATTAAAATATGGTCTTCTAAATGGGTGATGGCTGCCATTTCCAAGTTAATGAAATAAGATAGATAGCATCTAATCGAGAGACGCTTCTATAAATAAGAACTGGCAACCACCACAAATAATAGTACTGATACTTCAAGTTATGAACTATAACTAATATTCTATTGGTATATACAATATAATAAAGTGTTAGAACATGAAGTACACAAAGTAGTAAAATGAATATTTTTCTTTCCCCCAGTAGAGTCAATGCTTTGATTTTCAGATAATAAGACACAAGCTTGAAAACCCAATATATGTGTATCAACTAGACATAATCATGTTCCACATGCATCTTAAAATTTAGGAACAAACCGCACCTTAGCAATAGCCTCTGCAATCGGAAGGTAGAACTGCAAGCCTTCCAAAGAGCACAGTAAAGGCGCCTGAAAAAAGATCAAACACTAATAACAATGCAGTAGAGCAAAAGAATCCAAGCTTTATACTATTCACATTAACAAGGCACTAAAGTTTATACATGAAAAACTGTCACATATAATTTCATAAGCCTACAATAAATCCTTAATTAAAATAATGAATAACAAAATTGTGGAAGTGAAAAAAAAATAAAGGTGACAGATAGGCAAGGGAAAATTCTGCTTTGAAAAAAACACAATTTTAAAGAGTAACACCACTGCAACTAGAAAAGGCATTTTCATTGCATGATGAGCAGAATTCTAGGGAAACTTTCTTATTGGCAACATGAAGGCACACTCCAATATTGGCCAAGGGCTCATCTCCATCGAGCCAGTCACCAAAGGCGTTAGGACCAAAGCCAAAGTCATCATCACAAGGTGCCTCATTTAAGTTCAAATCAAGTTCAGTTGAAATTTCTTTACTACCAAAGAGAATGTCAAGGTCGTCAGTATCTTCATCCTCTGGAGCAGAAAGAGACAAGGGTACATCATCTACAGCAATAGGGAAATCTCTTCTCACTGTTCTTGCGGGATGAAAATCAATTAGAGAAGAATCTGTGGATGGCACAAGAGAATCCAAATGAATGTTCATCGTGGGAACTGCACTTTCAACAATTACATTGGAACGAGTGTCTTTTAGAGCTGTTGATTTCTTAGATGCTGCAGTTGTGTTAACAGAAGACACAGAGGGAGAGCCACAATTAACATTAATTGAGCGCAGCAAATGTGAGATCTCCTTACTGTTGGCTAGCACATTGCGAAGGTATTTGTTCTCTTTTCGGACAAGCTGGACATCTTTGCTGTAACCATCCAATGACAGCTTGAGCTTGCTATTTTCTCTGCGCAATGCTTGGAGTTCGTTCTCCAAATCCGCCATGTACTTCTTCTTCTTCAGACGGTTCTGTCTGGCGAGAACAGCGTTGCGCGAGAAGCACTTTGGTCGTTTTCCACGAGTGGCGCTTGAGTTGGGCTGTTGCTGAGATTCTTCGTCGGAGGATGTAAAGGCCCTTCCCGACAATTCTGCATCCATACTGACACCACTATCTAGGAAGCGTCGCTTCTTCTGCACTTCGAAGTTATCTTCCTCCACATCAGAAAGTACATTGATTTCGCTTCCCCAAGAGCTGAGCGAAGCCGTTTCACTTGCGTTGCGTGTACGTTTGCCCAGCCTACCGCTTGCACCACTCGCAAACCGGGCCATTTTGACAAAAAACACAAGTAACAGCAAGAAACTTACACTAGTTTGTTGCCTGAGCGCAGGCGAACAGTGTCCAATAGTTTATCGACTCGTTTTCCTCTGAAAACCACTCAAAATCACAATTAATCGGCACTCCACACAACGTCCTTCGTCCGTACCGAGCACAAGCTGCAAAATGGTGGACGTTGCGTCAGCGAGCCCCGCAGCGCACGCACCTAGCGGCTGGAACGCGTACTACAAAAACGTTTCAGTCACGTTTCAAGCTTTCAAGTTTCTGAGAGGTTTCTGTGTACGAAAAGTAAAATATAATTTCTTACCCTGAACGCATGAAACTTAAGAGGAGACTTGCTAAGTTAAAGCACGGAGTATAATGGCTTAAGTATGGGATAAACCAAACCATGGCACCACGTTTTTACTACTACCTCTTTGTGTTTCATTGTTTGAACTGGTTTGAACTTCCCGCCTGACCGGAAAAAGGATGACCTCGGGCTCTGGCCAATCAGGAAGCTCTAACTGGCCGCCAAGTTCAAGGCAGTTGTTTTTATCTTCTCTCTGAGATGCTTTGTTAAATGGGAGATGAACGAAAGAATGAAACTCAGTTACTAACTTTTTCTCTCTTTTGGTTCACTTGAAATTCTCAATGAGGAGCGTATGAGTGAAAAACCGGAAAATATTTGGAGCCAGTTGGCAAGCTTGAACATTGCCTACCGACACCGGACACCGACTAAAAAAAAGTCGTCTGCTAGAGTAACTTGCAGAGGCGGACATAACCTCATTGAGCTCGTTGTTGTAAATTTGCCCGGCATTTCTCTCCTTTGATGTTTGAAAATGGGAAAAGGGAGTATGCAGCGAACCATTTTATTTTGCCTCTCTTGTCGCAGTAGCATGCCGTATTCATCGTCTCTCGGCTTGTCAGAAAATCAGCGGTTTTTAAGGCATTGTCATAGTCAACCTGCCAACACTGTGCAAAAGACAAGTAAGGCAAACTCCATCAAAATTGGAAAAAAAATTTATGTTGTGAAAACCAACCAAGTCTGGACTAGTCGTTCTGATGGAAGATCCCTTAATCAAGTGAAAAAAAGGCAGAACACATCTGAAATTGAGAACCAGGCTTTTCTCCCTCATCAAAACAAAACCAAAAAAAGCTATACTGCCAAAAAGGTTGAGACTGAGAAAGATCGGACTGAAATAAGAATTCTAAAACAAAGCACAAGTAACAGCCCACTACCACCTCTAGCAAAATCAGATCTTCCTAAATACACTCGAAGTGGTGTCGATTTTTCTACTATATTAAAACAATCTGTTTATTCCACGGAAAATACCAAACCTTTCTTGACTGCATCTTCAGAGATAACGGTAAGCATAGTTCTTCATTTAAGTGTCATTTTGATTGTTTTCTTTGGACTAATTTCATCTGTTTACTGTTTACCAGGACCTGGTGAAAAATAAGTTAGAACACACTGTGTCCATTAGAGAAGTTATAAATCATACCAGATCGCCTAGAAGTTCTCGAAATATTTCTAGTTGGAGGGAATCCAATTTACTCAAACTTGGTTCAGAAGATTTTGATTACTTTGAGGAAGGTAAATTGTAAAGTGTTGTTATTGTTTTGATTTAAAAGCCTTCCGATCTGTTTTCCAACTATGTTTTATTGCTAGGTTTCTGATTTTTCTGTTTTGTACTTGCATCTATTTTAGAACTCAAGCAGAATGGGTTGGATTTCCAAAATATGATAACGGAGTATTTGAAGAGGGGAGATAATTCTCTTGCTGCAGTGAGCCCTATAATGGAGGCTTACTGGGAAAGTATTTGTCCAGCCTTGAGACACCTAAAAGACGCTCGATGCTTTCAAGCAAAAGCCTACCACCCTCACTTGAGGTATCATGGGACGGTAGACTGCATTGCAATGTACAAGTAAGTAGAATTTTATTTTGCTTCCTTGTTATTTTTCCTGTGTATCATACAATGCATTTCTTTTTGACTTGGTAGAGGAAAGCCTACTTTAATTGAGATCAAGAAAACCAGTTCACCAAAAACAAATCTACTCATGACTATTGACGGATCTATTCAAAATGTGGCAACTCTTGGAGCTCTTAATGCTGATCCTATGTGGCCATTCCAGGTAAATGTGGAATTGGTAAAAAAAAAAAAAATAATTTGCTCAACAGACATTTTTTTACATTAAAAAAATATGTACTCATTTACAGATCAATAACCTTATTCTGATATATGCCAATGCTGATGGAACTCCTGCATCTGTGCTTGAATTCAATCAAACTGATATTCAACTGTTCTGGAAATTGTGGCTCCGAAGGGTGTATCAGTTTTGGAAAAATGTAGATAATAATGTCAATGATAACAAATTTGTTGAGGCACAGATAGACACAGCTTGTTTTCAATCTGACATTAATTTGAAAATTGATTCCAGTAGAGTATCAGAAGAAAGAAAAAACTCTTCAGAAGCAGTTGAATTAAAACCTCAAGAAGCACATACATTCACAACCACTAGTAAAGATTCTGTCCCAAATTCCCAAGCTAGCCGTGAAGGCAATCAATTGAATTCAATTCTTCAGACTTCTGTTAAAATTGTAGAATCACCTCCTCAAGAATCCTACCATTCTCAGAATAAAGCAAGGAATCAGGGAAATGTAGGTTCAAGCTCACCAGATGTCAATAACTATTCAGAGCCTCTGTCTGAACAAAAGATTTCCTATCATGCAGAAAACATGCCTCATGTTCAGTTATCACAGGAACAACAAAATGAAACCCCTCCAAAAATTGAAGAACAAAAAGGATTTTTCAAGACACTGTGGAGTATGTGGAAATAATTATTGTTGTAATCAACACTACCATATTGACATGTATTGTACGTATGTATCTATGTGTGTATGTTATAAACAGTTATGGGAGTAATAAAAGAGACTCTGTTACTGTTTTTATGGACTTCTTTTAATTTATACAAAGTTTTAGCTTTTGCCACCTAAATTACAGTTGGAGACACATGACACAAAATTACATACACAAGTAAACTTTAGCAGGAATTTGCTCTTATGTAGGAATTAGTAACTAAGAAAGGTATAGCTATCATAATAAGATGCGTAAAAGTTATAAGAGATGCATAGGTATGAAGTTTTGACTAATACCAGGTAGGAAGTAGGTACTAAAAAGACACATACACCTAAAGAGAAATTTATTATGCCAAATAGGCTCAAAGGATAATATCATTTCAACAACCTGAAATGCTGCAAAATCATAAACTGTTTAATGACACAGCTGATGTACCCCTTTCCTTGTACAACAGCAGGAAAATAGAAAATTATAAAGATAACAAACAATATAAAGAGAATTAATTTTAAACATCAGAAGAACGTAACGGTATGTTCCAAGCTAAGGAGCTTACCACCTAAAACAGAAATTGAAATCCTGAAATTTTAATGAGATGATGCTTAAATGTGTGCTTAAATTATGAACCACACACAGAATCAGAGTTTATTTAAGTGGCTAAAATGCTGGAAATAAATTAATGTCAACAATTACAACTTGCTGTCCTTCATTACAAATGTTCAAGATTTTCACTGTAATAAGATAAGAGGTAAATTTTAACTGTTTCATCAACATGATAGAAACAGCTATTTTGGAGCAGACACAGTTACCCAGACAGGGCAGAATATGTGTCATCAAAATTGGTAAGTTCTCTTGTGCCCCTCAACCTCTGTTCCTACAGTGCAGCGAGTTATCATGGTGTCAGGGAAAGGAAATGCATGAATGCAATCCACTACACGCAGAATAACTTAGTGACTCAATATCATTCATATAAATAAGCAACAACAAGTGTGTCCCTGATAAATTCAAATCATAGTCCTGACTAGAAGCTCATGACTGTTTGAGCCCCTCCTTGGAATGAATAAAAGACAATGGTCTTTCTAGAGTTTTTCTCCAACTTCCTCTTCAACTATTTAAGTTAATGCAGTCATGATGATAAATGATATGAACTATTCATTAGTTGCTTGAGGGAACAATAATTTTAAATATAACTCCAATTCCACATTAAAATAAAAAAGGCACAGCTTTACTGAGAGCGCAATAGAACAAGTATTCAAATACTGTGGGACATGCAATAAAATCATATGCTCAACAGAAAAATTGATTTCCATTTAGATTGTGCCAAAGTGCAGCTGGTGGAATTGCAAGCGGACAATAAAACTGCAATAATTTAACCTTTAGATGACAATTTGGAACCCAAACCAAACAAAATGAAGTTGTGCATACACATTGCATGGAGTATGCAGCATAAATAGAAAAAACAAACAAAAAAAACCTTATAAAGGTTTTAAGCATACCCAAGTGATTGTTGCACTCAGATTCTACTTGCAAGAAAAGACTTACAAACTCAGTACACAATTACAAGTAGATATACGTTATACTTTTATACAAAATAGCACTATTTTCAATGATACTTACGAATCTACTACATCTGTGTATGATTCATACACAAACTAGGACATAAGCCATACATAATGAGAGCAGGAAATCGAGCGTCACACACATTCTATCTGCCTACATTTAAAGGCTTAGGGGTTTCTTTTACATCTATATCATTATATTACATAAAATAAAACACGAAAGACGGTGTTCGCAGAAACTCTGAAAAAAGAAGAATAAAAGTGGAGAGCATATGGTAAAATTAATAAGTAAGGATAAAAATGCTACAGTGGATGGAGTTGTTTTGAAATGGCAGCAAAATTTTACAAATTAATAACATAAAACATCTTAAAAATAATTATCAATACAATAAATAAATGTAACAAGTAAGACTGAGGAATTGTGCAAGAGCATAAATGCTCAGAGTTTCTTTTAATATACAAGCTTTATTAAGCTGCATAAAATAAATAAGCTATTTATAGCAACCCACCAAAAAACAAATTTAAAAAAAAAAATATCTTTCTGCCACACTATCCTCTCTAAATGTCTTTCCATGACTATTTCCACTTGTTAATCACAACCATATGATTCGGTGGTAAAAGCTGCTGGAAGCTCATAATGTTACCTGAGCTGAGCAGCATATGGTCTTGTCAATCAGCCTTGCAAGTGGCCAGCCTTTCCTCTAAATACATTCCTCAATCAACCTGGAGTTTTCTATTTTCATTTAATACCATAAATAATAATATTGATGACAAAACACCAGATGTCATACGGTAGGTTTGTTTTAGTAGAAGTACATTATGGGCACAAGTGAAGAATATCAATTAAGTGAATCATAGGGTCACAGTCAAAGAAACACTGGCTAAACCTGCTAATAAGAGGTACAGTATGTCACTTAAAACCATTTGACTATCTACAAAACTTTTGTGATGATTCATTTAAGTAACACACCAGGAAATTGCATATAACATACAATTGTGAAAACAAACAATAAACTAGCGATGAGATACTGTCATGTTCTTAGCATCTTCCACTGCTCAATCGCTTTCTACAAAACATGTCGGAGAGAAGTGGAGAGCTGAGGAAAAGAGGGCCTTCGATTACTTCATTGTACATTAACATTCAACACAAAGTAATTCTTCCGGAGACTTACCACCCATCATCAGTAGCTCTTCCTTATTCTTTGACTTCAAAGTATTTGTAAGTGGGATTTTCATATCCATTAATCTGCATATTCGCCACATGGCGCTCCTCTGGTGTAGCAGCCTGGTCCACTTCCACAAAGCCCTGCAATGGAAAACATGTTACCAGGAAATTCAATGTGACTTCAACACAATCCTTCCTTGCAATAATGCAGGTATCATTTTTCGAAGAAATGGAATTGAGACCTCTCGTCTGGCACCTCACCTGGTTCTGGGGCAGACGAGCGCTCCTTCTCCTCAGCAGCGCGATGCCCACGACGACGGCGGCCAGGAGCGCGATGCCAGCGAAGGCCAGTGTGAAGTAGACGCCCTTGCTCTCTCGGCGATAGTCGCGTCGCAGGGAGAAGGTCTGGCAACGGACGCCGGAAAACGGTCAGAATTAAGATCAAAGGGGAATGCACAACATCAAACAGCTATACCCTAGGTACCCACCGGCTCTCCGTGGCTGACGTCGTGAGTCTGGGCGTGGGCGATCTTTGGTCCTTCCTCCTTGTGGCTGAGGACGGCGAGCTCGGGAGCCGGCGGCGTCGGGCGCTCACGTTCACGCTCGCGCTCGCGCTCCCTCTGCTGCTCGCGCTCATGCTCGCGCTGCTGCTCGCGCTGCTGTTCGCGCTCGTGCTCGCGCTCGATGGGGGCCGCCGCGGGGGCGGGCGCAGGGGACGAGGAGGTGAAGCTGACACTGCTGCTGCTGCTGCCAGTGCTGCTGCCGGCCAGGGGCAGGCTGAGCAGGCTGTCCTCCTGGTTGCTGCTGTTGTCGCTCACGTCCCGGTCATCGTGGTCGTCCTCCATCGTGTCGGCGTTGGCCTCCTTGGACAGCGTCTTGCCGAACGCCGCCTCTACCCTCAGCTTCTCCTCGCGCAGCTCGACGCGCTCCTTCTTGCGCTGCTCCTTGCGCTGTCGCTCCAGGGCGCGCTGTCGCTCTTTCTCTGCGAGCAGGACGGGAAGGGCGTGTTAGCGCAGCACACTGGCGCGGAGCGGGGCGAGCGGACGCACCCGATGGCACTACTTACCCTCCTGCTGCGCGGTCACGTCGGCCTGGTACTTGTCCAGGATGGCGGACTCTGCGGCACGGGTCATGGTGAGCAGGGAGCCGGGGGTGTCGTCCTTGCTGCGCAGGGCCTGGATGTAGTCCTCCATCAGCTGGCCGATCTTCTCCTGCAGGGACGGGAACCTGTCCAACACAGAACGTGCCATCATGCAACCCGTTTCATGTGAGCGAACATCTCCCACCCTCCCCCAACCGTCGCATAACAAGCTTACCGTTGGAGCATCTGCAGGGACTGGTTAACCATGCGGTCGATGTCGGTGAGGTGCTCCAGGGTCATCGGCTTCTCGCGCTCGGCCTGCTCGAACGAGGACGCCAGCAGGTGGCGGTAGTGGGCGATGGTGTGGTGGCGGTCCTTGTGCAGGGCGCGGAGCAGCTTCTGCAGGCACTTCTGCACGCGGTGGGTCTGCAAAGAGGAGAGCGTTTCCGCGTTAGAGACGGGCGAGCGGGCAACGGCGCGTCGAGGCATCACTCAAGCACATGCTCACGTTCGGCGGGCTGTCATTCAAGGCAGTGGTGTAGCAAGTCATAGCCTCCTTCTTGCGCTGGCCGATGTGCGCCAGCACGCGCTGCTGGTGCATGGCGACCAGCTGGTGCTTCTCCGCGTCGCCCTCCTCCTCCAGCGACTGGACCGTCTTCTGGAAGCGCAGCGTCATCCGCTTCTTGAAGTCGAGCGCGCCCTTGGGGTCCAGGCTGCGCATCTCCTGGTAGCGCTCCTCCAGGTCGGACCAGTCCTTCATCACCTGTAGTGCCATGCAGAGCGCAGCGGGCGTCACGCAGGGGCGGCAGGCGGACCCGGGCGGACCGGCGCGAGAGTAGCATCAAAAGCGACGCGCAACGGCCGCGCCCCGGCGGAGGGCCACCAGCCAGGGGCCCGCCGGGGCGGGCAGCAGCGCAGTCTTAGTCGACGCGGCGAAGGCGGGGACCGGGGCGGCTCGAGGCTCGGAGGGGAGGAGGAGGGCAGGAGGGAGGCGACGCCGGACAAACAGCGTCGTCCCTCCGGACCAGTCCTTCCCTCCGCCCACAGAACAATTCACAGAAGACGCCCGGCGTCTGTATTGCTTTTGAAATCCGAAAGTCCCGGTTCCACCGCCTTCGACGGCGACGCCGTGGCCGGCCTGGCGGCGCCCTGCAGGAGGGCCGGCGGGGTCCCGGTGGCGGCCGGGGGCCCGCGCCTCGCCTCGCCAGGCGGCCACCTAGCCATGAGCAGACACAAACCTTAGTGACCTTCTCGCGGTGGGTCTCCTCCAGGCGGTGCTGGGCCTGCTTGTAGTCCTGGTGCTCGCGCCGCGGGTCGAAGTGCAGGAAGTAGGGGTCCGGGGTGGGCGAGGGCGTCGGGTAGGGCGACGGCGTGTTCCTGTTCTCGGCGGGGCTGGGCTGGGCCGCGGCCGCGACGGCTGCCGGCGACGGCTGCGGGGCCGCGCTGGAGCTGGGGGTGCGCGTCGTGGGTGGCGTCACCTTGTTGTTGATGTCGTCAGAGCCGTTACCTACAGGTGACAAGTCAAGCATGTCATGAGAATACACTCCGCGAGCCACACTAAGTTTTCGTTCCATTTCCAGCAGCTTGTACTTACCAGCACCGGTGTCCTCATCGTTGTACTCGTCGGAGTCGTCCGAGTCGTCGTCGCCGTCCCCTTGGTTGTCGTTGTTCTCCTGGTTGTCGGACAGGGGCGCGTCCGGAAGCGCCGCATCCTGCTCCTCCTCGTCCAGGTCCTCATCCTCGTCGTCGTCCTCGGAGGCGTCCAGGGCGGCGGACGAGGCGTCGTCGGACGCGTCGAAGGGCGTCTCGGCCGTGTCCTCCTTGTCCTGTTTGCTGGGCAGCGGCGCCATGTCCACGGGCACCTTGACGGCCTTGGTCGGGTCTGCGGGGCAAAGGGAAAACATCGTCATGCAAATGGATGACCGCCGCGAATGAGTTTGACAAACTCTGCACAACTTTGGCGCGCCCAACCCCCCGGCCGTTCTGGCGCAGTTCGCTTTTCCACTCGGCCGTCCCGTTTCGTCCCGCTCGGACTGAAAGAGCCGTTCTGCTTAAAGCAGGACGGGTCACTCCCGGAGTATTACACAGCTGATGAATGTGCAAGTGGGGCGCGGCACTCGCACTTTTACAACCGGCTCGGCGCCCCGCCTGACCAGCTCTCATTTTGATGTGCCGAGGGGCCGCTCTGCTGCTGCTGCGCGAGGCGGGCGCCAAAGCCCTGAGTGGATTAAGGACACTGCGAGGGCGGCGGGGCGGGGCGGGGCGCGGTCGCCACTGCTGACCTGCCGGCCTCTCACCGCACCGGCCAATCGCAACCAGAGATAGTCCGTGGCGCCGAGAGCAATCAGGACAACTTTGTGAAGGAGTTTCGGCTATCATTAATTTGCAATCGGCA